AACCAGGCATTCACTTTGACACCTGCTAATGCTTCACCAAAATGCTTGTCCTTCATAAATTCCCGAATCTGAGGGCCAACAAACATTCCTACCTTTAGCTTGCCTTCACTTATACGAGGAAACTTTGACTCCAGGTACTTGACAGCAGTTCCATTCTTGTTCAAGGCCTTCGCAAAATTTTTCATAAACCCTAATTTGATGAATGGTGGCAGCAGAATTTTCTTAGGGTCACTATACACAATTTATTTATTCTTAGGGTCCACTAGTGGCACAGTTTTCACGTTGTGATTTTCGGGAAAGATGATGGTTCTTGGTGGCCAGTCTTTTTGTTCATAATGCTGGCTGTCTGCCCTACTATCCCAAAGACACAGAAAACAGGGATACTTGGTGTATCCACCTTGAATACCTAGTAGGGGAGCAATAACTTCTGAATCACCACAAATGAGAAAATTGTGATTCTGGTACTTAATTGCATATATTAATGTCTTCATATTTGCGTAAGTTTGACATTTGGACACTGGCCAATTGGCACAGATGCAGCTGTGTTGCCATTGTAGATAAGTACAACCTTTAAACTTCTTTTGGAAGAATCAATGAAGTCTCCCCATTCATATGCTTTGTATGACATCCCCATGTGTTCAATAATGCCAGAAATATTTGAACAGAAAACTAAAGATTCCTCTGTCAGAGGACTGAGTGAATTCCGCTTCATGATGACGGTACCAAGCGAATGCTGTTCCAGGAGCTAGAAGCCTGTTTCCTTCAGTCTAGAGCCAAGTAACTGCATTTTCTTTTGGAAGGTTAAGGTCTCTCACCAAGTCATTGAGCTCAACTTGGTTGAAGGGTTTGGGATCGTCATTTGGTGGTGGTTCATAGTCTACTTCCATCTCCTTAGAATCACTGGTATCAGACCCTGATGAAATTTGCCATGTCTCAGGTGGCACAGGTACAGGAATATCTTCAGTGTGTGGGACAGGTCTTATTGCTTAAGGAATATTTGAGTATATTATGCGATCTTTAGTCTTCTTGTTAAATCCAGCTACTTTAGTCATACAAAAGTAGCAGTCATCATGGTGGTTCATCTGCTCCCGGCATACCATTGGTACTCCAAAGGGCATACATTTAAGTTTTCCAACTGACCACATTTGGAGCTTACTGATGCAACTCTTGCAAGTTTTATGTAGTGCAAATGATTTGTCCTGGTCTCCAAGTTTAGTCAAAATAAGCAAAGTAGCAGCGCTGCAATAAAAGAGTAATGTTGCTCCGGGAATCTGAAGGGTGAATTGCCCGCAGACATAGCAAAATGTCTGGTTAATTTATGAAGTTTCTAGACATGTTAATGATCTGAAAATAAAGAAAAATGTATTAGATTTAACATTTAAGTCAATATAAGGTAAGCATTTTAATTGGCAATATACCACTTTCTCATTTATGTTGTACGAAAAAAAATTTCCGTATAACTTGACAAGCTGATGTGATGGAGAAAAATAAAAAACTGAATCACTATTTTCCATATATATACCGAAAAAGATACCAAAATCGGTAAAAAAAATTATGCAGACCAGTGTAATAGGAGCCGTCAGGTTATACTTCAGCTTTATATATCCTAGTTTTGATTATGCAACGCATTTCTGTTCTCCATATTACAAAATGGACATAAATGATCTGGAAAACATGCAGACAAGGATGAACATACCAGATATCAAATCTTTCCTACGAGGCTAGACTGAGGACATTGAATCTATACACTTGAAAGTCGTAGAATTAGGAGAGATGATTAAGACGTATAAATGAAAGACGGGGATAAATAAAGGTGATATAAATAACCTGCTAAAAATCTCACCCAGACAGGCCTCGCAGCACTGGGTTCGCTAGGAAAATTTTCATTTACAAAGGATATAGGAAAGCAATGGTTTAGAAACAGCTGTGGATGAGTGGAACAAACGCTGGGGAGCGATCGACAGGTGGGTCATACTCGGGAAAGTTTGGGTTTCTAGATTCTTAGTATACGAAAGGAGGCAGTGGTCAGAAAAATAGGAGATATCGAACTTAAGCTTAAGGAATCGTACAGGAGACAAGAGACTCGGGAATAAATTAGTCATAAATGAAACTGAAAAAAAAAACCAAAATGCTTACTTTCTTATGCCAGATCTAGGGCAAAAACATCCAGGATTGAACCCCTGCTTGGGACTTGCAGATGACAGGAAAGAAATGAGGGAGATACTAAAGTCCCAGTATATATTAGCATTTAGTGCGCCGTTAACCAGACTGAGTCTACAATCCAAATGAAGTTGACACTCAAAATTTGGTTAATTAAAAAAAATCTACCCTAACAGCACAATACTTTGAAAAAGCAATAAATGACATGCTCATACATGCTGCCCCAGGCCGAGACTCTTGGAACTCCATGTTCATCAAGAACTGCAAGAAGCCCCTCACGTACATTAAGCATTCTGTGGCGAGGGAACATTGACACGGGGGTCGTCCCAGTCACTAACAACAACAGATGTAGCCCCACTCAACAGAGGTAGCAGTAAAGAATTATGCCGATAGCACTAACATCCCCACCTGACATCATAAAAAATCTTGGAAAGGTTTCTAAGAAGCAAGATTGTCACCCACTTAGATACCTATCAGTTACACAGCACAGAGTAGCATGGGTTTAGAGCAGGTCTTTTCTGCCTATCCCAACTACTGGGCCACTCTGATATGCTCTTCGATTCTCTGGAGGACAAACAAAATGCAAATGTAGTATACACAGACCATACCACCTTATCCATTTGGCCAGCTGGCCCAGTGGCTAACTCGTCGATCTGGAGTTTTAAGACACACTGACCGCGGGTTCAAGCCCCACCCGTTTTTTTTTTTTTTTTCATTGTCGCTACGATTTCATGAGTCATGGTATACACACTTTGCGAAAAGCCTCCGACAAGTGCGATCACGGTGTAATAATACACACATTGCATGATAAAGGAATAATAGGAAAAGTTGGTAGATAGGTCTATAACTTCCTAACAAATAGAACACAAAAGTAATAGTAAACAGTAAAGTCAGAGGCGGCTACAGTGAAAAGCTCCGTTTCACAAGGCAGTTCCCATTCTGTTCCTCATTCTCATATCTGACAGATGTAAGCCACAGCACTGTCTTCGCTGATGACTCGAATTTGCTTAATAGTCATTCATCGAAGACGCTGCAATTCTCCGAGCGGACAAACCGAATCTTAAGTGAGCCGCAGAAAACAATATGGAGTTCATTAAAGACAAATTTCAGTTACTATGGAAAACTCAAAGAAATTATAAAACAAATTCCAGCCATACAGTAAAGCGGAAAAACTAGTGAAAGACCTGGGAGTGATAATGTCAGAGGATCTCACTTTCAAAAATTGCAACAATGTATCTACCACATCTAAGAAAATGACAGGATGGATAATGAGAACCTTCAAAACTAGGGATGCCAAGCCCATGTTATTCTCTTCAAATCGCTTGTTCTCTCTAGGCTGGAATAATGCTGTATCCTAATGGCCCCTTTCAAGGCAGGCGAAATTGCAGACGTGGAGAGTACAGAACTTTCACGGCTTGTATAAGTACGATAATGCGTCTAAATTACTGCAAACTATGAAGTCCTTTAATTTGTATTCCTTGGAATGCAGGTGAGAAAAATGCATGATACAGGATTGGGAGTAGGCCCAATCCTGCACACAATCACTCCATATGAATACAAAAGACTGTACAAGATGCAGCATCCCCCACTGAAAAGAAGGGGCGCCACGGGTACGCTGAGACAACACGAGCAACAGGGGCACATCGCTGTTCAACTGCCTCCCAGCATACATAGGGAGGATTACCCATGGACCCCTGGCTGTGGTTTGTACATCAGTTTGCGTGCGGCCAGCAGTAATAGCCTGGTTCATCAGTACCTAATCCACCGCGAGGCTTGGTGACAGATAAGGCCATGGGGGCGTTGACCCTGGAAACACTCTCCAGGTATAAGATAAGATTTCGTTCGGATTTTTAACCCCGGAGGGTTAGCCACCCAGGATAACCCAAGAAAGTCAGTGCGTCATCGAGGACTGTAACTTATTTCCATTGGGGTCCTTGTCCCCCAGGATGCGACCCACACCAGTCGACTAACACCCAGGTACCTATTTGCTGCTAGGTGAACAGGACAACAGGTGTAAGGAAGCGTGTCGAAATGTTTCCACCCGCCGGGAATCGAACCCGGGCCCTCCGTGTATGAAGCGGGAGCTTTAGCCACCAGGCCACTTTACAGGTTCTTTAGTGTGGTTGGCAGAATAGTTCTTGAAGGCAAGCCTTAGGTTTATTTGGGTATGTGGTACACGGGTTAGTGCCAGTACCACGTCGAGGCTGAAACACTGAGCAAGAGTGAGAAGAACATCATGCCTCTGCCGAGGTGGCAGCTGGAGCGCTAGGGGCAAGGATGTGAAATACGAAGCCTTACAGGGGAGTTGGGGCCAAGGGATGGGGCCTGGGAACCCATGCCCGGCAGGGGCCGCTGAGCCCTTGCCGGGGTGGAGGGGGGGGGACGCGGGGAGCCCTTGCCCGTGGGGGCCCTTGCCGGGGGCAGGAAGCACCTTCTGGGATCCCCACTCTTGACACATCATTTAAATAAAATGTTTGTTCTTTGATTCACATGCATTGACTTAGTGATGTTTTATGGGCGTCTTGTAAAAGATTGTTTTTAATTTTTTATATTTTATATTTTCATGTGGTGGTATTTTTCTTTTGTGCTTGTTATTGTGATTTTAATTTTTGTGAGAATAGTTTTAGCAAGTGTTAATACATAAATGAGTTTATACAATATACCTTTCCTGATTGCTGAATGATCATTTTGGTCAAAACATTCTGTAAATTTGCAGCTTTGTCAGTGTGTTCCAAAGTTAAAGTAATTAAAATGAGCTAGTCAGTGGTGTTGGTGTATGCCCAGTTGATATGCTTTGTATAATTTAAGAAGTCATGCTTTATTTAATTTTTGTACTCCAGTTTCTGGCAGGATTGGGTGTTCCTGCATCATGGACTATCCACGACGTGTATGGACTGGAAGAAGAAATGCTTAACATGGTACCACAGCCTGTTTGTGCAGTAATTCTTCTGTACCCCTTCATTGAGAAGGTATGTTTTTGTTCTAGGAAGGTAATTCTGGCACCATTGGCCATTCCTTTAACAGTTGCTGCAAGATAATGATCTTTTGTAATTTGTCCATTTTTTTTTTTTTTTTTTTTTTTTTTTTTACCTTCGCTTGCTTTGCCAAGGCAAGTGAGTGAGAGAGCTAGCTGGCTAGGACATCCTGCTTCTTTCCATAACATTCACAGTCTTATTTGCAATATATCCATGCACATTCAAACCTGCTAACTTTAAAATATATTTTAATTTAATAAGGAGGGGTTACTAGCCCCTTTCTCCCATCCTTTTAGTCACTTTTCACAACATGCATGGTTCATAGAGGAAGGATTCTTCTCTTCCCTAATAGAGATGAAAGGAAGTAAACAAGACTACGAACTGTGTGTGGATGTGTATGCATATACATGTATGTGCATGCATAGTATGATCTAAGGTGCAAGTACAAGTGACAAGATGTGCCTGTCATCTTGAGTTTGAGACAGAAAAGGGAGCAATCCTACCATTATGTAAAACAATTGTAGGTTTCCATTTCACACTCATTTGGCAGGAGAGTAGTACCTCCCAGGGTGGTTGCTGTCTACTAACTCTACCATGTGAAGAAAACCGTAGAAAAATTATAATATGAATATTATTTAGCTTGAATAAAATTCTAATTTTAAACACCATGCTAAACATGAATGCATTTGCTGAAAAACTGTTTAAAATATTTTGTGAGGACCCAAAGTTTTGCTACATGTTTCAACCAGAAATTGTGGTGTACCGCCCTCAGCCCCAAGGAGTTAGGTTAATGGTTTTTGACTTGTCACTTTCAGTAGATTGAATCTTGCAGTCACTACTGTAGCACGCCCCCCCCCCCACACGCACGCCCCTCCCCACACGCACGCCCCCCCCCCACACGCACGCCCCCCCCCACACGCCCCCCCCCCCCACCCCAACCACGCCCCCCCACACGCACTCCCCCCCCACCACGCCCCCCCCACACGCACGCCCCCCCACACGCACGCCGCCCCCCCACACGCACTCCCCCCCACGCACGCCCCCCCCCACACGCACGCCCCCCCCCCACACGCACGCCCCCCCCCCCCCCCCACGCACGCCCCCCCCCCACGCACGCCCCCCCCCCCACACACGCACCCCCCCCCCACACGCACCCCCCCCACACGCACCCCCCCCACACGCACCCCCCCCACACGCACCCCCCCCCCCCCACACGCACGCCCCCCCCACACGCACGCCCCCCCAACGCCCCCCCACACAAGCCCCACACACACCACCACACACACACACACACACACACACCATGCCCACACCACACACACACACACACAACACCATGCCCCACACACACACCACGCCACCACACACAACCACACCACGCACACACACCACACCACCACACACACCCACAAAAAACCACACACACAACACCAACACCCAACCACAACACACAACCACCCACACACACCACACCACACCACACACAAAACCACACCACACACAACACACACACCACACCACACAAACCACCCACACACACCACACACACACAAAACCCCACACACCCCCACCCCACACCACACCCACACCACCAAACACACCACCCACACACAAACACACACCACACCACACACACACCACACCCACACCACACACACACACACCACACACCCCACACCCACCCACAACACACACACCCACCCACCCCACCCCACACACCACCCCCACACACACCCACCCAACACACACACACACACACCACCCACCACAACACCACCCACACCACCACCACCCACCACACACACACCACCCCACACACCACCAAAACACCACAACACCACGCCCCCAAACACACACCACGCCCCCCACACCACGCCACACACACCACACCCCCCCCACACACACCCCCCCACACACACCACCCCCACACACACAAAACCCCCCCCCCACACACACACACACACCCGCCCCCCACCACACCACGCCCCACACAACACCCACCCCCCAAACACACACCCCCCCCACACACACAACCCCCCCCAACACACCCACGCCCCCACCACACACCCACGCCCCACACACACACACACCACGCCACACACACACACACACACCACGCCACCCACACCCACACACACCACGCCACACACACACACACACACACACACCACGCACACACACGCCACGACACACACACACACACACCACGCCAAATGCGCCACGCCACACACACACGCCACGACACACACACACGCCCCACACACACCCACGCCCCACACACACGCCCCACACACACGCCCCACACACACACGCCCCACACACACGCCCCACACACACGCCCCACACACACGCCCCACACACACGCCCCCACACACAACGCCCCACACACACGCCCCACACACACGCCCACACCACGCCCCACACACACGCCCCACACACAACGCCCCACACACACACGCCCCCACACACCACGCCCCACACACACGCCCCCACACACACGCCCCACACACACGCCCCACACACACGCCCCAACACACACGCCCCACACACACGCCCCACACACACGCCCCACACACACGCCCCACACACACGCCCCACACACACGCCCCCACACACACGCCCCACACACACGCCCCACACACACGCCCCCACACACAACCGCCCCACACCACACGCCCCACACACACGCCCCCACACACACGCCCCACACACACGCCCCACACACACGCCCACACACACGCCCCACACACACACGCCCCACACACACGCCCCACACACACGCCCCACACACACGCCCCACACACACGCCCCACACACAACGCCCCACACACACGCCCCACACACACGCCCCACACACACGCCCCACACACACGCCCCACACACACGCCCCACACACACGCCCCACACACACGCCCCACAGACACACACGCCCACACACACGACACACACACACGCCCCACACACACGACACACACACACGACACACACACACGACACACACACACGACACACACATCACACACACACACACACGACACACACACACGACACACACACACGACACACACACACGACACACACACACGACACACACACACGACACACACACACGACACACACACACGACACACACACCACGCCACACAACACTCACACGAAAGAGTCAGAGGCATCACTGGACATCATAGCTCTCGCAGAAACCAAGCTTACAGGTATGATAAGATGCCATCTTTCCAACGGGATACCAGATCCTTAATAAAGACAGAGGGAACAGGGAGGGGTGGAGGAGTGGCACTGCTGATCAAAAACCTATGGAATTTTGATGAGCTGGAGAGAGGAGACAGCGGAGAAGCAAACGATAACATAGGAACTTTTCACTCTGGAGGTCCCAAAGTGGTAATGGCAGTGATGTATAACCCACCACAGAACAGCAGGAGGCCAAGGCAAGAGTATGATGAGAGCAATAGAGTGATGGCTGACACACTGGCTGCAGTGGCCAGGAGAGCTCATGCATGCAGGGCAAAGCTCCTGATCATGGGTGAATTAAACCACAAGGAAATCGATTGGGAGAACTTGGAGCCACATGGGGGCCAAGGTACATGGAGGGCTAAGATGATGGAAGTGGTACTGGAAAACTTCATGTACCAACACGTAAGGGGCACTACAAGAGAGAGGAGAGGATGAACCAGCAAGACTGGACCTAGTATTCACCTTGAGTAGTGCAGATATTGAGGACATCACAAACGAAAGACCCCTTGGGGCCAGCGATCATGTGGTTTTAAGCTTTGAATACACAGTAGAGCTACAAGTGGAGGGTGAAGCAGAAGGCCGGGCGAATGAAGCCAAACTACCAAGAAAGGGGGACTACTCGAAAATGAGGAACTTCCTGAACGGGGTTCAGGGACAGAACTGGCATGGAAGCCAGTTTAATGAGATGATGGAATATGTAACAACACTGTGCAAGGAGGATGAGAGAGGTTTGGTACCCAAGGGTAACAGAATAATGAAAAAGCCAGGATGAACCCATGGTTCACCCAAAGGTGCAGGGAGGCAAAACCAAGTGTGCTGGGAATGGAAGAAATGTTTGTTTTTATAAATTTCTTTTTTTTTTTTTTTTTTGTGTTTGTTGGGTTTGTTTTTTTTTTTCCATTCCCTAGCACACTTGTTTTTGCCTCCCTGTCACCTTTGGGTGAACCAGGGTTCTCCTGGCTTGTTTCATTATTCTGTTACCCTTGGGTAGAGGGGGGGGGGGGGGGGGGACAAACATCTCCTCATCCTCGCTTGCACATGGTTGTTACATATTCCATCATCTCATTAACTGGCTTCCATGCCAGTTTCTGTCCCACTGAACCCCTTCAGGAAGTTCCTCATTTCCGAGTAGTCCCCTTTCTTGTAGTTTGGCTTCATTCGCCTGCCTTCCTGCTTCAACCTCCACTTGGAGCCTACTGTGTATTCAAAGCTTAAAATCCACATGATCGCTTGCCCCAAGGGGTCTTTCGTTTGTGGATGTCCTCAATATCTGCACTACTCAAGGTGAATACTAGGTCCAGTCTTTGCTGGTTCACCTCTCCTCTCTCTTTGTAGTGCCCCTTAACTGTTGTACATGAAGTTTTCCAGTACCACTTCCTCATCTTAGCCCTCCATGTACCTTGGCCCCCATGTGGCTACCCAATTTCTCCCAATCGATTTCCTGTTGTGGTTTATTTCACCATGATCAGGACTTGCCCTGCATGCATGAGCCTCTACCTGGCCACTGCAGCCAGTGTGTCAGCCAGCACTCTATGCTCTCATCATACTCTTGCTTGGCCTCCTGCTGTTCTGTGGTGGGTTATACATCACTGCCATTACCACTTTGGGACCTCCAGAGTGAAAGTTCCTATGTTATCGTTCCGTCTCCGCTGTCTCCTCTCTCCAGCTCATCAAAATTCCATAGGTTTTTTGATCAGTCAGTGCCACTCCTCCACCCACTCCCGGTTCCTCAGTCTTTATTTAAG